GGGTAATGACATGCTGTCCGGCTTCCTGATTGCCCGGGAAGGGGGCTCCTTGTTTTTTGGCCGGCTTGATTGTGATGGGCGGGAAACTGGCTTCCCAGCCAATCAGCATCAAGCTTGCTACCTGGCCAATCAGAAAGCCGGGCGGTGAGTAATGACCCGCCTCCCGGCTTTCTGATTGGCCGGAAAGCCGGCTCAAAGCCGACTGCCTGCAAAGCAGGTTTCCCAGCCAATCAGCATGGAAGCGGCTGTTTGGGCCGGCTCTACGCTGAATGGCCGGAAAGCCGGCTTCCCAGCTGATCAGCAAGGAGCCGGCTGTTCAGCCAATCAGGAAGCCAGGAGCCGGGTCATTACTCAGCGCCTGGCTTCCTTATTGCCCGGAAAGCCGGCTCCATGGTCCCCTACTGCACTGCTGGTCAGAGGAAAATCTTCCTCTGACCAGAAGTTCCGGTATCGGGGAAGGAATCACAGCATTTGGCCGAGTACGAGTACTCACCCAAATACTTGGTATAGGCACCGGTGCATCCCTATGAATTCCCCAATAGCGCATTTAATACTGAATTATGTAAGCAAACCATTATTACCTTTAGGAACCTCTACAGAGATATTTTCCACCCCTCTCTTCACTGTCCGGGGTCGGCCCTGTTCAATTGGCGAGGCTCCCCAATCGTCTGTGACTCCCGATGGCTGGTAGTGCACCATAAGCTGAACATTGACAAATAAAAAAGGACAGCTGAACGGATGATAGCACATGTGTAAACATTTAGGGGTCAGCTAAATGCAGCGTATGATCTGTGTGCACCAAGTAATGATCTGCGGGGCACTCCAGGAAGGATGAACCTGCGTAATGTGCATTTTTTTTAAAGACGATTAGCAGTAGCAGCATTACCTGCATACTAAAGGCCACAGTCACGCTGCTGGTGGGGGAAGATATAGAGCGGGGTGAAACTGCGTTGTGTGTAATAGTAAGAATACTGTACAAACCCAACAAAAGAAGGATGCGGTATGAGCAGTGCGACCGAAACTAGTTCTAGGTTACTATAGGTGACTATGTGGTGCAGGAAGGAGAAGAATAGCTGTCCCAGAGCTTGCACCCTTAAAAACTAGCAATAGCACCCCTCCTTTTTCTATCCCGATACGTTCTCTTTAATAAGAGCGCATCCTCCCACTTGATATGGTTACTGTACAGCTGCCAGTGTGTCTCCCCCCCCCCCTTTACCTTGGGGTTATGTAGAATGATGAGGTCTCTAGATGGGGATTCCAGTCTCTTCTTCCATTCGTTTAGGGTCACTGCATCCATGTAGGCCTCCTGCACACACAGACATGATCAAACATTATAGGCCATCTTTCCTTTCTTGGTATTACTATTAATGGAACTCTTATGTAATCAATAAGGCGGCACTCTGCCTATATGCATATAAGGGGAACTCCGGCATCCTGACCACTTTCCACTCCAACCTCCCTTTCCCCATGCACCATAAAAACACAGAAATGTTCATCCGATCCTCTATCTAGTGCACCTGGCTGCCCCTCTAGATAATTCCTATGGAAGCCAGTACTCCTCTTCTGAACGGCCCTGGTCCTGAGCTGGTGGAAGCGCAGTTCAGTATGCACTCTGGTTCATGCACCACTCAATTCTGCCATAAAAAAAGTCTTGCCAACACATTAGAGAGTGAGACGGCGGTTGCACATCACAGTCACGTGACAGGATGCTGCAGTTCTGTACAGACAGGAAGTTAGAAGAAATCCCAATAGGGACTGCGACAGCAATACATTTCTGGCAGGGCTCCTAATCCTTCCCCAACTGAAAAGAGGGTTCTGTCTGGAGCTGGACGTTAAGGTACATTGAGTGCACTTTTTGACCTTAAAAAGGAGAAGTATTGGGAGACTCTTAAAGAGGGATAGCCAAACTTTGGTCCTCCCACCCCCATCATGACTACGGCAAGTACGTATTTAAAATACTTGATTATTCTGCCTTTTTACCTGCAATTGTTTAAGTTGGTGACAGGGTCTCTTTAAAGCTGGATAGTAGGGATGCACGGATACCGGTTTTTCGATATCGAGTCTGATTATATATATTTCTGTACTCACCGATACCGGTACTTCCGGTAGCATGGAGCCGGTTTGCCGGGGAATCAGGAAGCCGTGCAGACATTACCCGGTGCCCAGCTTCTTGATTGCCCGGAAAGCCAGCTCCATGCCCATTGGCTGGGAAGACGGCTTCCCAGCCAATCTGGAAGGCGGGTCATTGTCCGCGACCCGGCTTCCTAATTGGCCGGGAAGCCGGGTCCATGATCCCTCACAGCCCTGCCCGTCAGAGGAAATCTCCCTCTGACCGGAAGTTCCAGTATCGGGATAAGTATCGGAGCATTTGGACGAGGACGAGTACTTGCCCAAATACTCTGTATCAGCACCGATACCAATACCAGTATCGGCACATCCCTACTGGACAGTGTAAAGAGTATAACATAGTAGGGAGGAGACGGATTACCTCTAGGACCACACTGAAGTTCTCTGAGTAGGGGACGTATTTGCTGTCTTTATCCCCTTTGTAGAACCAGGTACACCTCTGCACCACGGAGTCCTCCTCATCCCAATACACGGACAGCCTCTGCCGGCTACCCAGATACACGTCATACCGTCCTCCGCACACCGGGATCACAAAGCTGTTTGGGTTTTGTTCTGATGACAACAGAACGCATTAAAAAGGTCATCAAAATACAACTATTACATACGAGTTATAAGAAAGAAATATATAGAAGAGGCTACCGACAGGCAACTCAAGCCAAGCAGTTAAATACAGAACTTAAAAGGAGAACTCCAGACAAATCAAATCCTAACCCTTGCAGTGGGGCTACCCCTCCACTGCAGGGGTTAAAAGGAGAACTATGAGGTGGGTGCTTTTCACTCACCTCATAGTTCTAGCCGACCTGTGACAATGAGACTGTCACAGGTCGGCTCAGTAGATCAAGAAGTGAGCGAACACATACCGGCGTTCGCTCACCTCTCGATCCTGTCACAGCTCTCTGCCGTGACAGGGGAGGGGCTGGATTCCCCCCTCCGATTAACCAGCGCTGACTGGCGGAACGGACGGGGGAGGGGGCGGGTACAGCTGGCTCTGCCTCTAGATAGGCAGAGCCAGCTGTCAGTCACGCAGCTGGGCGGATCCCGACATAATTGTCGGGATCCGCTTCAGCTGCGGCGTCTCAGTATACCGCGAGCTGTGGCTCCCTATATACTGAGCTTAGGGTGGCGGGAGGACGCTAGTTTGTGTCCTCCCGATACCCTAAGGAGAACTATGGGGAAAAGCCCTAACCCCATAGTTCTCCTTTACGTGCTCATTTGGTCTAGGGAGCCAAACAATAAAGTTATACTCACTTGAATCGCAATCCCGGCTCGCTCTTACACCGGTTCCTTCAGCCTCCCTCCCCCTCCGCTCCAGCAGTCGAAGGTCCAATGAGTCATTATGCCCTCTACAGTGTATAAAACGTGAGGACGCCGAGGGGCCATACCATCGCTGGAGCAGAGGAGGGGGACAGGCTGCAGGGAGCGGTGTAAGAGCCAGCCGGGATCGCAGTTCACATGCGTATAACTTTGTTTCTTTAAAGCCCCCTAAGACAAAACGAGCACTTAACCCTTGATGTGCAGGGGTAGCTCCATTGCAAGGGTTAAGATTTGATTTGGCCGGAGTTCTGCTTTAAGATCTTATATTATAAGCGTTTTACTTGGCTGTGATACAATGTGGTGGGATCACCAACACCTACTGAGCTGTGTGGCTGGATGCCATAAGAAGAATTCAATACTGGATACCTGGACTTCTACCTGCTCTGCGAATGTTCAATCAAAGCTCATGCTTCCTGCTAACTGAAGGGCTCTGACTCAGCAGGGGACATGTTGGACCTGTGCAGAGAGACCGCTGCTTCCACACACAGAGCAAGGGTCCTCCTCTGCAGCATGCTGGCAGGCTTTTCTACTCGGCCCTCCTTACCATCTTGTCTTGATTTGTATTGTAAGTAAAGTATGTCTTCCTTATATTGTACAGCGCTGCTCAAACTGTTGGCGCTACAAAAGTCCTGCATAATAATAATGAACTGGAAGACTTTGCACAGCTTTTGTTTTTGTATTCAGCTGATTTAAAGTGAAAGTTCTTCTGGCTTTCACTGCAATTCCCCCCAAGATGTGTTTCACATATTACTGTAATGACAGCACGCTGATTGCGGTATCACCTGCTGACACATGACACTATGACTTTAGGTATCCGGCAGGTTTATTTCCTAGCTGATTAGAGGATTGCCAAGCTCCTTAACTACAAAGCTAACAGGATTATTTCCCAGAGTCACAAATCCAATTACTTCTAAGTGTTTGCATCGAATGAGGCTGCTACGCTGCCCGGCCAAAAATAAGTCACCACCTGGTTTTCGGGCCGTGTTATGATCTGGGGTGGCTTCATATGGTCATGGTTCAGCAACGTTATGTCCCCCCATAACTGAGGTCAGCTGCCATCTGAAATGACCAGGTTCTCCCATCAATGGATTTTTTTCTTCCCTGATGGCACATTGGGCATATTCCAAGATGACAATGCCAGGATCCATCGGGCTCAGATGGTGAAAGGTTCAGGGAGCATGAGACCTCATTGTCCACCACAGAGTCAAGACCTGAACCCCATTGTGAATCTTTGGGATGTGCTGGAGAAGACTTTACACAGTGCTCTGGACTCTCCCATCATCACTACAAGATCTTGGGGAAAAATTAAAGTAACTCTGGATGGAAATAAATGTTGTGACATTGTACAAGCTTATGGAAATGATGCCAGGGCGAATGCACCCGACGCGTATTTACGTTTATATGTGCGTATACGTTCGGGGTGGGGGGGACTTAAAACATTTTTTTTATATGAGACAAATTTTTTTTTTCACTTAAAAGGAGGAGAACTCTGGGGTTAAGGCTTTTCCCCATAGTTCTCCTTAGGGTAACGGGAGGACACAAACTAGCGTCCTCCCGTCACCTTAGGCTCAGTATACCGCGAGCTACAGCTCGCGGTATACTAAGACGCCGCAGCTGAAGCGGATCCTGACAATTGTGCTGAGATCCGCCCAGCTGCGTGACTGATAGCTGGCTCTGCCTATCTAGAGGCAGTGCCAGCTGTACCCGCCCCCTCCCCCGTCTGTTCCGCCAGTCAGCGCTGGCGGATCGGAGCGGGGAGGGGGAATCCAGCCCCTCCCCTGTAACGGCAGAGAGCCGTGACAGGATCGAGAAGTGAGCGAACGCCGGTATGTGTTCGCTCACCTCCCGATCTACTGAGCCGACCTGTGACAGTCTCATTGTCACAGGTCGGCTAGAACTATGAGGTGAGTGAAAAGCACGCGCCTCATAGTTCTCCTTTAATGTTATTGCTATCACATAGGGGGATAACAATCCCCCTATATTATAGCACGGGCACACTCTCTTTATGGAGACATCAGGGAGCTCTAAGACCCCCAATGTCACCTTTGAACCCCCAAAGAAGCTGATGAAGCAGAGATCTGCTTCACCTCCCTGGCGGTCTGATTTTTTCATGTATTTTTTCCATTTTTGTGTCTGTTTTTCTTTCTGACTTTTTTCATTTTACGTTTAAATTTGCCGCCGGTTCCACCCCCTGCGACCCGTACGATTGCATCGGCCGGAGGACACAGCGAGGATCGTGGACAAGGTAAGTGTGGCGCTGTGTATTCCCGAGTGTGGCTCGGGGTTACCACTTATGGTACTGAAAATTAACCCCGAGCCACACTCGGGAATACCGCCGAGGAGGTTAAATGACAATGATTGACTCGGCACCAGAGAATGTTTTAGTGAAATTTGCATTCACTGCTTTATAACTAGACCCCTTAGTGCCAAATCCTCCTGCAGATGGCAGCATAACCCACCGGTCTCTAATCTACAGCGCTGTGGTCCTCAATGACTGATGGAGATAAATGGTGTTATTTACTATCCTTACCAAAGTCACCACATACAGTGATTAGAAGACAATATTCACTGTGCTCGCCAAATAAACTGCACTCTCAATAACCCCTGAAGACCTTCCTCTGCTTTGTAGATGCAAATTCCTGCTGTTCATGGCTATACCTCCTATTAGTACCCCGTGTCATTGCAGTATGTACTGTACCGGAACAAAATGCCTCCTCCAGCTTGTCAGAATCTTCTTTGCTGAACGGGCTCCAGGTCCCCCGGGCGTCTTGTACCTGATAGAACCAGTGAGGAACCACAGGCTCGTAGGTCATTGGCGTCTCCATCATCTCGCTGGCCTTCAAGGATATGGAGGGTGGAGGTGCCTCCGATGAAGACATTCCCTGATTCTGCGACATAAAGAGATGTAGAACAGTCAACAACACTGAACTGACAACAACACGGTTCTCTCTCTGACAAATATACTCTCGTAGACTTTGCCCTCTCCCAGCAAAGTATCAGATGAGATCAGCCGCCTGACCTTCCCCGAGATAAAGCCACAGAGATGACATCACCTACTGGCAAAGGTCACCCATTGATGGCATGTTATAGTAATAGAGTATCCGCCCCCCGACTGGAATACACATGGAGGATCTGGTTTTGGCCAAGTGTTGGGTTTTAATCCATGAAGGGTGGACCAATCAATAACAGAATGCGGTGCTGGTTTGTATAGTTCTGTATAGTTCTGGGTTTGTATAGTTCTGTACACATAGGAGCTTCTGTGTGTAATGATTACCCATAGTCGCAATTAGGGATGTCCCGATACCACTTTTTTAAGACCAAGTACAAGTACCGTGGCTCATATACTTGCTGATACTTTTTCTTAAAGGGACATGTGACATTTTTTCTAAAACACAGACTGATGATTTTAGGGCAGTTTCTTACAAGGGCTAAATACGGATGTCCCCACAGCCGGACACGTGTCCCTAAGGCAGAATATCAACTGATCGGAAGCCGATTAATCGATTATTGAAAAAGTTGACAACTTTTTCAATAATCGATTATAATCGATTATGTCGATTAGTTGTTGCAGCCCTAGGGACATGTATTCTGCTATGGGGACATGTATTCAGCAAATCGATGCCCCCAAAGCAGAATTCCGCTCACCAAGCTGCGTGTCGATGTCACGCGGGCGACATCCAAGTCCGGACCATCGATGCTGGGACCCGGCCTCCTCCCCCGGCAGTCTCTGTCCATCTCCGCTGCTGGGCACCCCAACCTCCATCCTTCCCCCGGCCCAGTCCTCCCCCGTCAGTGGGCAGCAGGAACCCCCAGCTTCTAGCTCTGGGGAGGCCACTCCGGCTCCACCGCCGGTAGTTCCGTCCCTGCGCCAGGAAGGAGGAGATAAAGAACCGAACAGGTACTGCCATGGACAGCTATCTACAGGCCCCCAGCAGGCTCCGGAGGCCCCCACAAGTGCGGGAACTCTTGACAGCCGCTGCTATGTAAAAAATTTAAAGGGCTGGTAACGTCCTTAAGAATCGGAGCATTTTCAATGCCTGGTATCGGTATCGGGACATCCCTAGTCACAATGTTTATAGAATTTGATGGAGTACTCATCCAAATACTCCGACACCTTAACTTACAGTCAGAGGGAGATTTCCTCTGACTGGCAGTGCCGCAAGGGAACATGGAGAAGGCTTTACAGCAAATCAGGAAGCTGGGCGGTGGGTATCGGGGCATCCCTAGGATTTGTTCAAATAGGAACAGGACATACTGTAGATACATTTTATAATTAAAGGAAGTGTACTTCCTGTTTTTACTCCCCAAAGGAAGTCAGGTGAAGCTCTAAGAACCCTAGGAAGTACCATTTCCTATTAAACTGGTCACATACCTCCAGGGACACCATCACCGAGGACGCATGGAGTCCGCCATCGCTGACCTCTTCTTCTAAAAATGTTAGTTCCCTGCCTGTCATGGTGATCCAGTGGCTTCAGTACTTCCTATGTCCCTCAGCACAAACAAGTCTCCTGCAGCCTTCACTCGGACTTTTCTGATCTGTACGCTCAGTGATTCAGAATGTATAGAAGTCGGATGGGGTGGAGTGCGGGGTGGGTGGGGGCAGATGGAATGATTTCGGGATGTCTAATACTGGACTTCACAATAGCTCTAAGGAAAGGAGGTGAAATGTGAAATGACTGGATTCAGTGATGTCAACATCTCCTCCTCGTTGTAAAGAGCTCCGGGCATGTGTAAGATTACTGGGTTACCACAGCACTGCAAGGGTTAAGCATTTGTTTTGCACTAGGGTCTAAAATAAAAAAAGATATATAGTCACCTGATCCTCCGCGGAGACCCGTCACCTCTCTACCCCTCCGCTCCAGCCACGGCAGGTGTGCAGGACTATGCCAGAAGTTTTGAAGATGCCCATAGGACGGACTTCCTCAATGCGCTGACACCATTTCACTCAGCCTGGTGAATATGAACTTCCCGGTGTCACCGCTCTCACAGAGCCTGCTGCCTGAACTTCCCACAATGTAACATTATCACTGCTTGCTGGAAGCAATGCATGATGGGAGAGGTTGTTTTGACAATTTGTGATTGCATCACATCAGGCAGCAGGGAGAGAGAAGCAAAGTACACTGGGAACCCAGGAAGTTGTTGGAAGCGATGGGCAGACGGAAGGCGGCGCTCACTACGTAAAAGGGATTTCTTCATGTAAGCTTTGATTGTATTATCAGAGACAACTCAACTATGTATCCCTATCACAATGCTGATGTCATAACAGGAGATGCCGGGACTTTACAAGCAAGCCAGTTCCCCTAAGCTCACCCAAGGCTGCTCAAAACTCTGACCGCCACCCCCACCTCCTAACCCAATCAGCTGCAGGCAGACGCATTCCCCACCCAGCAGCTATACGTCACAAAGGGGCGGGCAATGACTTCCGACACTTATGAGGTCGGGAGGAGGAAGTGGTAGTCAAGAGTTCTGAGCAGAATTGGGCAAACTCAGGTGAACTGGGTTAGACCGAAGCACCTTGGCTTCGGTCTAAATTGGCCCATGCATGCGAGATAGGGACCTTAGATTGTAAGCTCCTCGAGGGCGGAGACTAATGTGAATGTGCAACTATGTAGAGCAAATAAATAATAATGAGCATCTAAACAAGATCTCATGACTACGTCCCCTCTGTGATTGTTCCTGTTCCTCCATAGCAATGGGAAAGAACCCTTTAGGAGTTGCATATCCTAAGCAAATATTAAATGAGTGAGACTTATGTGTGTGTGATATGCAAATATTGATTGGGTGAGGCTCAGCTACTGTTTAAATATTGATTAGGAAAGCTTTATTACACCCAAGCAATGAAAAGTACAATGACAAAGCCCGATAGACCCACCAAGTACCATCCATCCATGAGCAAATACCTCGCAAGATGCTTCCTGTGTATTAGGTCAATTGGGTCCAATGTGCCATTGAGGTTCTGGCATTGTCGGGCACAGCTCAGTGTAGGGAAAGGGTACAATTAGGAACGCGCCCCAAGCACTCCATTCCTTTTGGTGCCCATGTATTCCGAACTTATGTTTACAACACATAAGCAGATACCTTGTTTTTCTAAAACAATATAGACTAATGATTTTTAGGACAGTGGTGGAGAGCAAGGGCCCGGACCTAGCTGCCATTACTGTGACCCTGGTAGTTCCGCCACTGACTCCAAGCAATACATTATATAGCAATGCAGAATGGCAAACCGCTATAGAGGACTACAAATCCCAGCAATACATTATACAGCAAAGCATAATAATACCACCAGCTATAGAGGACTACAAATCCCAGCAATACATTATACAGCAATGCAGAATACTATCAGCTATAGAGGACTACAAATCCCAGCAATACATTGTACAGCAATGCAAAATACCATCAGCTACAGAGGACTACAAATCCCAGCAATACATTATACAGCAATGCATAATAATACCACCAGCTATAGAGGGTTATAGGTGTGACTCACTTTTAGGTGTCCTGGGGTGCCTTGGAGATGGTCCTATGTTTCCATCGGACCACACACACTGTTCGTTTTTTGCTAACACAGGGTTCCTCTCCCTGTTTTCAAGAGCTCGCACACTGTTTTCACAGCCCTGTTGGAAGCCTAATTTGTAGTACCTTTGGTAGTGCGCTTGTTCCTTTTTGTCCGTACTGAATGCAGGAAGTGGTGTAATATACATCACTTCCTGCATTCGGGGACTGAGAGGAGATCAAAGGGAGTTCGTATACTGAACTCCCTTTGATCTCCTGTCACAGAGCCGTGCCGGTCCTGGCCGCATCGGGCACAGCGGATCTCGGGACCGGCAACGGCAGCGACAGCTGGTCAGTTAGTCCTCTATAGCTGATGGTATAATTCTGCATTGCTGTATAAGGTATTGCTGGGATTTGTAGTCCTCTATAGCTGATGGTATAATTCTGCATTGCTGTATAAAGGTATTGCTGGGATTTGTAGTCCTCTATAGCTGATAGCATTCTGCGTTGCTGTACAATATATTGCTGGGATTAGTAGTCCCTCTACAGCTTGGGGTCAGTAGCAGAGCTACCAGGGTTGCAGCTGCGACCAGTCCCTGGCACCCCACCACTGTCCTGAAATCATTAGTCTGTATTGTTTTGCAAAAACTGTCACATGACACTAAACATTTTTTATCAATAATTGGTATCGGTGAGTACTTGAGTAAAAGTATTGGTACTCGTACTGGGTCCAGAAAAAAATGGTATCCGTGCATCCCTACTAAAATCCCTTCTCATTTACAGCTCATTACCCGTGGCTACAGTGAATAATATATTACAATGAGGGTTTAATAATATCTTCTTCCCGATGATTTCTACATGGACATGTGACCATGACAAATCCTGTAACCTAATACCCAGATATCTAAATATATCCCCTTCAGTCTCCTTTGTAGTGCAGAGGTGAAGTGCGGGCCCCACGCCTGTCCTGGATCCATGTAGTGTGAGCGGAGAGGCACAGAGGGCACCGTCTATACTACATTATATACCAGGTTCTGATGACTGACAGGCGCTGCAATCAGATGCTGCTTTCCATGTCTGTAGTATAATCCAATCCTTCACCGTTCCGGTTACATTACGCCGATATTATTACAACGTAACGTTTTATTTCAACACGTTCAGCAGGTGAAGTGTAATAATAAATGCGCATGCACCGATACAGAGTATTTGGGCGAGTACTCGTCCAAATGCCCCGATATTCCTCCAGGATACCGGAAATTCCAGTCAGAGGGTGATTCCCTCGAGGGAGCATAGAGCAAGCTTCCTGGCCAATCAGGAAGCCAGGTGGTGGGTCATGACCCCCTTCCTAGCTCCCCGATTGGCTAGGAAGCCGGCTTCACTTGTCGCTAGGCAGCCTGGCTTCCTGACCAATCAGGAACCTGGGCAGCAGGTCATGACCCGCCCTGCCCGTCTTCCTGAATTGGTCACGAAGCCAGGCTGCCTCGCAGTGTCGCGCCAGAGCTTGATCAGGGAGCCGGCCAGCTTGGCCAGGCCAACGTTACCTCAGGATGCTGGTATTCGGTATCGGCGAGTACTGAAAAAAAAATATCGGCACAATGTTTGCCGCCCGGTTTCCAGCCGGAGAGTCCCAGGTTGCTAAGAGACAGGTAACCTGGGACGCTCTGCACAGGTCCTGGCAACCAGTGACGTCACCGGCGGGTGTGTACCACGGGCACAATCCCCCTCCACAGATGGTGAAAACACTGGGGACACCCCTGAATATGGCGTCAGTCGGCCCAAATGGAATCAGGAATGAAAGGTCAGTGTTGACAACAAGGAGAACATCACCGGTCCCTCATCTCTCCAGTCCTACGGCGGCAATGCCCTAAGGGGCCCTCCTCAGCCTCCTTGGGGGCAATTAATAAAAAGTGTCTATCTCAACTACTGCCATTGCACATAGCAGCCAATCGGCTTCTGTCTTTCATCCTTCCCCCTTAGGTTTCAAAATTAAAAGGTGACAGCTGATTGGCCGCACTTCAGCTGAGACAAAGTTCCTCTGAGACACTTTTTATTAATTCGAGTCAAAGGGCCGCAAGGCAGAGAGCAGGTCACATGACCTACTCTGTCAGGTTCGGGTCACGTGACTCAGATCCGGGCTACTTTGGACCTCCAGTGAGGTAATGTGTCCCCTTCCATTTCTGGGTACACACTGACCCTGATGTTGGAGGTTACCAATGCTTTAAGGAGCAGAGACTGCTATGTGATGACAGGTTCACTTATAAATACAAATCAGCCCGCACGTCTATACAGAGGAGCGGGGAGAGTCCCCGGTAATACGGAACAAAGCACGTCAGGTACAATGTAATAATAATGACGGCACCGGCAGGGGGCGCTCTGACAGCTCCAGGCAGCGATGAGCCCGCAGGACGCGCACACAGTACAGCCCCCTCAGCCCGCACTTACCGCTATCCGCCCGCCATCTGCAGTACTACTGAGCCCCGCCTCCGGACCGCGATCACATGACCGGGTGGGCAACGGCGAGTTCAAGGGATTTCGGAGCGGAGCTCTCACGAGAGTGCGGAGGAATGCGGCTGAGGGCGGGGCTGAGATTACGTAATCGGAGCCCCCGGGGGAGCAGTTGCTATATGTGGTGGGGAGAGATGTAATGCATCCCCCTCCAGGAGGAATTGGTACATTCTGAGAATGTTTGATGTAATGTGTTCCCCTCCGCGAAGGATTTGGTACATTCTAAAGGATGTGTGATGTAATGTGTTCCCTTCCAGGAGGAATTGGTTCAAAGTATAAGTGATGTTATGCGAGCCCCCCTCCATAGATAATTGGTACATTCTGAGGATGTAATATGTCCCCTTCCAGGAGGAATTGGTACAGTCAAAGTATAAGTGATGTCATGCGACCCCCCTCCATAGAGAATTGGTACATTCTGAGGATGTGTGAGGTAATATGTCCCCCTCCACGAGGAATTGGTACATTCTGAGGATGTGTGATGTAATTTTTCCCCTTCCAGGAGGAATTGGTACAGTCAAAGTATAAGTGATGTCATGCGACCCCCCTCCATAGAGAATTGGTACATTCTGAGGATGTGTGATGTCATGTGTTCCCCTGCAGGAGGAATTGGTACATTCTGAGAATGTGTGATGTCATGTGTTCCCCCTCCAGGAAGAATTGGTACATTCTCAGGACGTGTGATGTAATGTTGTCCCCCTCCAGAAGGAATTGGTACATTCTGAAGATGTGTGATGTAATGCGTCCCCCTCCAGGTGTAATTGGTACAGTCAAAGTATAAGTGATGTCATAGGGAATTGATACATTCTGACATGTGTCTCTGGAAAGGGCCCCAGGGTTTAGTGTTCCCTGATCACCCAGATCCCCTCTTCAGCGCGCTCATTTTATTTTTAAATAAAACCTTTTCATTCTCATTACATAGCTCGTTTTAATCCCAATGATATAATTGTTTTGTCATGTGTTCCTTATATTGTAAAGCACTGTACAAACTGTTGGCGCTATATAAATCCTGTATTGAAATTGAGGGGACGTGTCTGACCAGGTCTTCGGTTAGGGAAAGGACTGGGCCACGTGGTCAAACTCTGGTGCCCATTGGACTGTGCAGCCATGTCTAGACAGATAGTACAACTGCTATAGGGCTGCAGCAACTAATCAATAAAACTAATTATAATCGATAATGAGAATTGTTGTCAATGATTCTCATCATCGTTTAGTTGCCACCGCTCTGCTCCTCCATACTAGTGCTGGCTGCAGCAGTCTGTGTCCTTCTCAATCCCTGCCTGTAACGGCAGAGGCAGCGGGAACACAGACCACTGCTGCCGGCACCAGCGGGGAGTAGAGACCACTGTGACTGCATTCCTCCGCTGCCCCCCCCCCCATCCCTCCACTGCTGCCCGTTCCTCCTCCTCTGCCCCCTTGCCTCTGCTGCCCACCCCGTTCCTCCGCTGCCCGCCCCTGTGCCTCCACTCCATCTAGAGCAGTGGTTCTCAATCTGTGTAATTTCAGGACCCACATTTGTCCTTGGTCATTAAGTCACGACCCAAGTTGCACTGCAGTGGAACGCACGGCATTAGGGTACCACGTGTTCTGGTGCGGGTGTACAAACTGTGGGTGGCAGGTACCATTAAAATGAATGGCAACGCACCTCCCACACCAGAATGCCCAGTACAATGCGATTAACGCACTGTACTAGTGTGAACGGGCCCTCAAAAACTCTGACAGACACAATCTCCAAAAATGTTTTAATTTCATTTATTTTTTAAGGTCATCAGCCTGGGGTCCAGTGTGGGCTGCTGTGCTGTGAGGGAGCTCCATCCATATGTGCATTGCTTGTACAACTTCCTTGCGGGCCCTGTAGAGGTGCCGGGGGCCAGAATGTGATGTTACTCCGGTCCAGCAAAATGTTTGCCATTTGTTTTGCTTGACTGATTTGGTGCAGTGCCGTTGTGATGTGCGGGGGTCCCTTATGCGTCCCCGTGCCTTTTAAGGAGGTAGGGCTGCCTCCTGGTGAGCCTGCACCCAATTTTATATTTTGCCCCATGTGCTCCAAGATGGAGACTCTCATAGTTTAGAGTTAGGACCGCAAACAGAAGTAGTGTATCAGGAAGCGCCAGAGGTAGATCATATATAGTCTCTCATAGGGAGCTAAATGTTATGGCATCTATGCAGGAAGCAGCCCCAAAACAGTCCGGGAGACTGGGATAACTAAAAGACAAGAAAGGGGCGCCTTTTCCTAGTGCGGTGGCAGTCTTGAAACAATGCTAAGCCCCAGCTTCACATTGCAAATGTCCCCCCCATTCACTTGCGCGACCCCATATGGGGTCACGACCCACAGTTTAAGATGCCCTGGTCTAGACGACTGGGTCAGAGCAACTCCAACACGTCATCTCTTGTGGGAAGTTCCCGGTCTGCAGTGGTCAGGACCGACCAAAAGTGGTCCAAGGATGGAAAACTGGTGAACCAGCAACAGGGTCATGGGCCGCCAAGGCTCACTGATGTATGTGGGGGGTGAAGTCTGGAACATGTAGTCCGATCCAATAGAAATGCCACTGTTGCTCAAATCGCTGATAAAGTGAATGTTGGTTCTGATACAAAAGATTTTTGCTCATCTAAGAAATTAATTGAAAAGGAAAATTTGAGGTAAAGCAGGTTTTAGCAATTCCCAAAAATAGTACTAGGTCTTATTATCGGGGTAGGTCTTATTTTTGGGGAAACAGGGTAGCAGTCGGCAGATTGAGCGCACGGCCCTGTTAGCGCTGTCTGATCCTTTACTAGTGCGAGTGCTTGTGTTCTGAATCAAGCAGATCCCTCCCCTGTTCTGCTGAATGATGACACTCGTCTCCAGCTTGCACCGGCTGCCAGAGACTAGGGTTTTCATCAGACCTCATTAGATATTAAGTCTCCTTCTAAGCAGCATGGTCGAACATTGGTAGGGGAAGGCTGGGCGTGCAGTCAACCATACTAGTGCTGCATCACCTATTAAAATGGGACAAAGTGCAACAAGGACATTGTCCCTTGGGACACCGGAGAAACAGAGAAGGCTTCAATGTTGCCTGTTATTAATGTATAGGAGTAGCCTCAGTCTGATCGAATTGGACAGCAACGTGCGGATGACGATCTCATTTATAAGTGCACCTTTAGGCATCTCTGTTTTTTGCAGATAAAAAAAATAAATAAGAATTCACAGAGGAAGAAGTACGAGTAATCCATTTACTAGAAGAAATAAAACCATACGTTGTAATAAAACAACTCCTGGAGATGTAAATGTACATATAAAATGAACCCAAATACATCTATCACAGTCAAAAACAACAAAACATTGCATATACATTGTAGCTTTCCATGTATGAACAAGACATACAAATGACGTGTAAACAAGTGTCAACCAAGGCAGATTCACCTGTACAACTCGAACAATGGCAGCTTGGTACTGAAACGTTTATGGACTCTTAACACTGTTTGTACATTCACATCATATTTACTCCATAGGTTGTGATAGTGGCATACAGGCAATCGGACCAACTGCCTCAGATTGAAAACTGCAACAGGAGAGGACAGCTGGAGAGACTTTGAAAGAAGCATTTTAGGATCCAATTATAGGGACTGTTGTTTCTGGGGGTCAGAGGTCACCGGAAGTCTGACAGCTGCTGACCTTGTTACTGTCCAGAGACCCCCGGGGGAACATGGATCGGAGACCCCCCCGGGGGAACATGGATCGGAGACCCCCCCGGGGGAACATGGATCGGAGAACCCCCCGGGGGAACATGGATCGGAGACCCCCCCCCCGGGGGAACATTTGATCCATCAATAAGGCGAGTAAAGCTAAATAAGAGGTAAAATATAAATCCTTCATAAATAAGAGGCAAGTATAGTCCTTCATAAATCAAAGGCTGAATACTCGTGATCCTGCATAATCCTAACTGTGACAGGTTCCCTTCAGTGAAAGTGGCCTGTTGAAAGTAGATTAGGAACCCTACAGGCAGAGGTACTACTCAAAGTTATCAGAATTTGAAAAGGAGTCCTGTTTTGGTCCATACACATTCAAAAAAAGTGTCTATTTTATGGTTTCCAAGCAAGTTTATAAGGTAATGGTGAACCTGATTTGGTGTTGGATGGTTGAACCTTTCTCCTAGAGACCCCGATAATGGAAGCAGCCAATGACTTGACCAAATGCAGGGATCTATCTATTCAGGCTGCAGTACGTGGAGTTTGGGCATCAGATGAAGCCCCCATACGCATCTATAGTATCAGGTTATACGAATATATATTATTCATATATTAATATGGCCTCTAGAGATTCTTGTGCTGAAAACCCATTCCGAGAAGATTGCATTTTGTTGCAATAGTTCATGACTTCCCAGAAGATAGGGTTGCCACCTGTCCCCGACTCACCTGGACAGTCCGGGTTTTGAGTCCTGTATGTGCAGTGTCTGGGTTTCAGCTGGCCTAAAACCTGAAAAAACCCGGACAGGTGGCAACCCTAGGTAGAAGTAGAAAGAAAAGTTGGGGCAGCTATAGGCCAAAATCTGAATGGAAAAAGTTCTTCCTGCCATAGACAACCGAAAATTATTACTGAAGTCTCATTCACGATTGTTGAGGAGATAAAGAAATGATATATCTATTAAAAAGGTGGAAAGTCACCGTGCCCAAATTCTCCCCTTCCTCCTGCGCCGAAAACGAGGCTTGGAACGCACAAGCCCGGCGCCCGGAAATGACGTCACCCACGCCGGAAGTGACGTACGCGGCCACCCGGCCTGGCCGTGGAACACGTCCCGAGGCCCTGAGAACCGGACAGACCCCTCTGAACGGCGGTCCACCGCTTCCCCTGACCAGCCAAGGGGGTTTCGCCCTCCCGGTACCGGCCCGCACTGGGCACTGAAGGGGGAAAGGAAGCCAGCCTCATCTCCTGCAGCTCTAGGAGAATCCCTGGGGCTCCACAAGGTAGGCAAACCTACCCCTCTGCCTTACAC